TCTGGACTATAAGCTATACATAGATTCCTATTCTCTTGATTTTCCTGCATGTTCTAAAAATCAAATATACTTGTTCCTAAATCTCTCAGCAGAGTTTAAAGCTATTCAGTATTTCTATATTCTAAACACAAATTCATTTTACACACTGCACATCTTATTGCTGACATCTAGAAGTTAAGTTTAACCTGCTCTTTTAAATGCAACACATATATTGGCTTTAAAATCATTTAACAGTTCCTTAACTTATAAACATATTTTACTGATTTCTTTCTCACTACTGGTTCTTGTATTCCTTGACCTTTGAGTATACTTCCCTTCTTGATGAAAAACACCTTTTATTATTTCTTGTAATTAGACTCTAAGAGTAGTAAATTCGCTTGCTCATTGTATGTCTGAAATTGTTTTCACTTTGTTCCTCATTTTCACTCCTCTCATTTTGTTAAATTGTGATGTAACTTACACAAAGTACAGGATTTAATGCATTTTTACATATGTATTGTGTGTGATCACCACCTGGATTCCTAGTGTAGCACTGTAGGATAAACACTGAACTGCTAACTGCAAGGTTTGCAGTTCAAACCCACCAGGAGCTCTTTAGAAACCACTGTATAGAGTTGCTGAGTTGGAAACAACTCAGCAGCACTTAACAACAGCCACCACCCAGATTAGAAAACATTTTCAGTATGTCAGAAAGCTCCCTCATGTTCCTTAGTCAACCACCAATCTTATCTCTCCCCATAGATCAGTTTTGCATGTTTTTGAACTTTTTATAAATGGAATTCTACAGTATGTATTTCAAGTATTATTTTGCTCAACATTCTATTGCTGCTTCTATTGGTAGTTCATTTCTTTTTTAGTTCCATGTGACATTTGTATATGTGATTTTATTGTGATAAGTTTTTGTTGTTAAGTGTCATTGAGTCAGTTCTGACTCATAGCCACCCTGCAAAGGGTTTCTGAGGAGCACTGGTTGAGTTGGAACTGATGACCTTGCACTTCAACTGACCTTTTGGTCCAGTGCCTATCCTACAGTGCCACACCATTAACTCCTTATTGTGATACATCACTGGCACTTATGTGAATATGCCACAAATTGTCTATTATGAGTAAGGCTACTAACATTATTAAACATACTATTTGTAAACATAGAAACTCACTCCTTTTTGGTGAGCACAAGAAACTGCAGGGTCTTAGGTTAATTCTATGCTTAGCTTTAGAAGATAGGCCACAAGTTATCCAAAGTGGTAGTACTAATTGATATCACCATCTGTGCTATAGAATCCCAATTGATCAACAGTTTCAAGTTGTATTCCCAAGAGAGAAAAAATTATGTTGAACATCTTTTCTCAATCTGTTAAGGCCTTTGCCATTCAAAAAACAATTGGGCCCAGTCTGATTTCCATATATTGATTTTCAGGACTTTTTACATGGTCAGGACATAAGTCCTTCATTGGATATGTATCTGTAACAAATATTATCTCCTAATCTATAGCTTTCCTTTTCACTCTCTTGTCTTTTGAAAAACTTAAGTTCTTACATTTAATGAAGTCTAGTTTATCAGCTTGTTTTGTCTATGGTTAGTGCTTTGGTAGCCTGTTTCAAGAACTATTTATGTGCCCCAAGTTTATGAAGATCTTCTCTTATAATGTTCTGCAAGCTTTGTTATTTTAGATTTTGTTCTCATGCTTGAGTAAAAGTTTAGTGAGCAGAAAATTCAATTATCCATTAATACTCTGATGATATTACTTAGCTGACTGGTAAGCTCTCTTATTACTACAGAGAAGCCTGCTGTCTTTCCAATCAATTGCAGATCCTTTGTAGTCAATATTTTCTTTTCTCAGTCATCGTTTTTAATATTATTCCTTGGTGGCTCTTTACTTTTGCCATAATGCTTAGCTGTGTGTTTATTTTTATTTATCCTGTCTAGTATCGGGATTTTATTTTTGTAATCAGAACTCATTTTGATTTCTGGAAAATTCTCAATTTTCATCTCTTCACATACTGTTTTCTCCTTTTGGAAATCTTTATTAGGTGTATATTGAATTCTCTCAATGTAGACTTCATGTCTCTTAGCTGATCGTTATGTCTCATCTTGGTCTTTCTGTGTCATATTCGCAGTGAATTTCTTGATTCTTTCAGTTCACTAATTTTATCCATGAACTAGGTCCATGTACAAGTTATATAATGAATTTTAATTTCAATGTTTGTATATTTAATTCTACAGTTGTTGCTTTCTTATATTTATATTTCCTTTTCCTTCCCACCCCACTTTTGTTTTGCCATGTCTTTTTCAGTCAATAGTATTGCTTAATCTCTCTGAGCATCCTAAGCAGTCGCCTTTGTATGTGTATTGCATAAAATTAAATTCCTCCCAAGTGCATTCATGGTCTAAATGCTGGTTTTGTAAAGGTATCATTCTAAACATTATAATGTTTGTCTTGAATTTTGGGATTCTTTATTATAGACTTCTTGTTGTCATTAAGTGCCACACAGTCAGTTCCGACCCGTAACAACCCTGCATAACGTTTCCGAGGAGAAGCTGGTGAGCTTGAACCACTGATACTGCAGTTCAAACCGACTTTGAAGTCTAGCACATTAACCCACAGCGCGCCATGCAAGGACTTCATAGATTTCTTAATGAAAGTTTTTTGATTTTTGGTTCCCCTTTTCATCTCCAATGCTTCTGTGATCATCCCCCAGTCCAGAATCTAATCTGAAAATAACTTTTAGGGACTCAAGCTCAGTGATCATACTGGCATCATGGGAAACTTTGCTAAAGCTGTCTTTTTGCCTCCCCACCTCCTCAGCTTCCTATGAAACCTTGCCATAGGTAGCAAGTTGGCAGATTTCCCCCAAATCCAATTACAAGTAGAAACTTTGAGCAAGAAGGTTGCTGTAGTGTTCATGGAACACATTCAGTTCCATTATCCTTAAGTTCTGAACAACCAACTATCAAAATCACTACTCTGAATAAGTCTAATTATGTCTACTGGGAGGGAGGGGGCATCAAAGTTTGTGGGAAAATTAATTGAAAAGATACTGGAATTTTTCCATGAACTTTTTGAAGCCCCCTCATACTCATCCCTGGGAAGCACAAATGGTTTGTCCTCCAGAACTAACCTAAAAGTTGGCCATGTGAATCCACCTAGCGGGACCACATAAGAAAGGCCTGGTGAACTGCTTCTGTAAAGACTGCAGCCAAGAAAAACACTAGGGAGCAGTTCTACCCTATAGTTCACCATAAAGTTGGACCAACTATAACCTGATAAAATGGGCTATGTATATGTCATTTTTTATCTTTATACTTTTATTACTTACATATTTAGAGCAAGCATAGAGGTGCTTTGGTGAAGCCTGAGCTTACTACTGTGTACTATTTTTTGCTTGATATTGTGTTTTCAATGTCTGAAAAGTCCTAAAACTATCATTTGCAAGCTCAACTCTGTTTAATAAAAGACAAAGTGAGTTTTGAGTGAGAACAGAATTCACAGAATTAATTAATACTAAGTCATATGTTTTAGCACGTGAAACATCCAAGGAGAGGGTTACTATGGTGTTGTACTCTTTCATATTTGAGCCGTATAGGCCCCTAGACATATGATTTTTCTCTTCTCTACACTTCCCCGTATTCTAACTAATAATGCAGCTTACATATATATAGTGAGGAGTTTACTGCTTGTCAGGTGGTACCCAGCTAAATATTTTAGATAATCTATTTTATTTCATTTTCACGAAATTTCTGAGTGCTAATTTCATCTTGATTTTATAAATACAAGGGGGCTTCAAAAAGTTTGTGGAAAATGGAATTAAAATATAATGAAAATTTCCCACAAACATTTTTAGAAGATTTTTATTATAAATTGAGTGTAAGTTTATAGCACGACTATCAGTTTTACATATAATAAATCATATAATGTTTCATCTCGATGAGTACATTCCCCTCCATGCAACAAGTTATCCTTGATCCTCCCTGTGGTCCCTATTTCTATCCCACTCACCTTCCTAGCCCTTCTGAAATTTTTTCCTTAGGTAAATGCTGCTCTTCTCATTTTGAATGATTGACTATTTCATGGTGAACACACCTTCCTACCTAGTTTTGTTGTCTTCCCTATATATCTACCTACTGATCGGCTGAAAATTGGGCCCCAAGGGTGAGTTCCTTTTCCAGACCTGAAGGGTGGTCAAGGGCCATAGTCTAGCGTTCTTACAGTCTTGTGCTGATTAGAAAGCCCAGTCTTTTATTTATTTTTTAATAATTTTAATTTTTTTCCCACATTTTCTGCTGCTCTATCCAGGACCTTCTATTGTGATTCATTTCACAGCAAATGAACTTGAAACACCTAGCTCTTCTGGTCTCGGTCATTTCACCAACTTTTTAAGTCCCCTCCTAAAGAAATGGGGTTAGTCCCAGTGTGGTACTATAGAATAAACACTGCACTAACTGGGCTGCAAGGTCAGCAGTTCAAATCCACCAGCCACTCCTCAGAAACCTTGTACAGGGTCACAGTGAGCACTTAACAGCACTTAACAACAACAACAAAAACATGGGGGTTTAGAGAAGTTAAACAACTTGCCCACAGTTATACAACTAATCATTAGCAAAGCCCGGACTGAAATACAGGCAGTCTGACACCAGATCCAAGTTATATGGTCTGTTCATGGACAGCTTATAATAAATATACCTGACTTTCCTTAGCCTTGGTATGTGAGACTTTACAAGTCATTGAGTGTTAGCTGTAAATGCCACTTCCCTCTGGAACATGCTTTTTTTAAATGATGTTTAAGAGACCAGTTTTCCTACATTTAGTAAGATAATTAAAACATACGTTGACAATGACCCTATGAAGAAAAGACAATACAGCTCAGTAGTTACATGTTAGTATCTATAACTTTAGCTGGAAACAATAATTAAGATTCCAATTTGAATTCCACTATAGGCTCTTATGCAGACTTTTTCTTCGGGGGGGTGGGGGGAGCTGTTAAATAATTGAAGTACTTACCTCTGCTAAATCTTCAAAGCAGCTTCCTACTAATGGATGGGGACTGCCTTCATCTGTCATTTCTACAGTATCTTCTATATGGCCCAGTAACTTTACACTAAGTTCATGTATATCTACTATACGACTAAATATAGTTTCTACATCCTGTTGAAGGGAAAAACATATTAATTTAGTAAGGTTGTAAATAATAAATATCAAAATTTGAGTCAATATGTTAGCTTACAATCACAAAATTTAACATGACAAATCCAGTGAGAAATTTTAATCATTTAAAAATATAAATAAAAGACAACTCACATTATTTTTGCAATGAAATACAATTTACAAATACATTTCTCCAGTAGAGACTCTCTTTGAAACTTTGTGGTCTTAGGACTCTCATCACACTCTTAAAAAATTATTGCAGACACCAAAGTGCTTTCATTTATAAATGTAAACTATCCATGCTGACTATATTAGAAAATAAAACCAAGACATTTAAAAACATTTAATTCATTTAAAAATAATAATAAGCCTGTAATATGTTAAATAGCTTTTTTTGTGAAAAGCATTTTTCTGAAACAAAGTATTTAGTGAGAAGAATGGCACTGTTTTATTTTTTTGTAAATCTCTAGCCATCTGGCTTAATACAGTATACATGATTTCATATTTCTGTATTCAATCTGCTGTGGTATACTTTTAGTTGAATTTTATGAAGAAAATCTATCTTTGTACAGATAATTGGTCAGAAAAGATTATTTTACTACTTTTCAAATAAGTGTAGATATCCTTTTCTCTATGTAATTTTTAATTGATGTAATTCATATACCATAAAATTCACCCTTTCCAAGGTTTTTGTATAAATTCACCCTGTCGAAGTTCAGGGATTTTTAGTATAGTCGCATACCTGTACATCCTTCACCACTACACAGTTGCAGACATTGTCCTTACCCCCAAAAGAAACCAGTCCATTCCTCCCTTTTCCCAGCCCCTGGAAACTGTTAGTCTACTTTCTGTCTCGGTGGGTTTGTCTATTCTGGACATTTCATCTATATGGACTGAATATCCTTTTTGATGACACCAAAACTCAACAAATGATAGCATCTTACAAATTAGTTATTATGCAAATTTAGAATCATATCAACTATGTACTATACCCTGAAAATCCACTGATCTTTTCTGAACTTTAAATAGATGGATCATTAACCCATGCAAAATGACTTTGAAAATATTGGCTCATTAAGTTCTACAGATCATCCAAATGTTAATATGTTAACTATACAATATTTAAAAGTCAAATTCATCAATATCACCACTAATAGTAGGACTGGATACAAGTTTTCCAAATTCTAATTTAAATTTGAGAATTCAAATTTTATCACTGGTAATAAATATTACCATTTGTTTTCCTTAAGTAGCAGGCCCGTTTCATTCATTTCTGAGAAAGGGTCTACCAAATATGCAAAGTCTAAATCAATAACCATAGTTTGTCAATTTTGGATAAAATTAGTTATTTCTTTAAAAAAGTAGTAATCACTCAAACAGTTTCCCTCAAAACTATCACCATACTTTGGCATGTAGCAGAAATATGCTTTATACATACTTTCTATCTGCCTCAGCTCTCCTCTCACTCAATCTTCCTCCTGGCATTCCATGACCAAGAATCCATATATGATTCTATATATCATCTTATACTTCATTCCTTCATTCTAATCACAAACAGATATACATGCTCAAAACAACGCTTTGTGACTTCTGTTAAGATTTTCTGTAGGCTGTTGTTTTCTGTAGGTAGTTGCCAGTGGTAGCTCTGATCCACGGTGACCTTGTAGATAACAGAATGAAAGGTCTCCCAGTCCTGTGCCATCTTCATGATCAATGGTGTGTTTGAGCCCACTGGTATAGCTATTCTCTCAAACCATCTCACTGACAGTTTCCCTTGTTTTCACTGATCCTCTCTGCTTTACCAAACATGATGTCCTTGTCAAACACTCAGTCTTCCCTGATGACATGTTCAAAGTAAGCAAGACGAAATCTTGTCATCTGCGCTTCTAAGAAACAGTGTGCTTGTATTTCTTCTAAGACATATTTGTTTGTTCTTTTGGTGCTCATTTTTATATACTGCAATTCAAAGTCATTAACTCTTTTTCTTTCTTATCGTCCATCTTTCACCTGAATATGACATGATCTAAAAGAGCATGGTCTGGGTATGGCATATCTTAATAACCAAAGTGGCATCTTTGCTTTCTAAAACTTGCAGTCTTTTGCTGCATATTTGCCCAGTGCAACACACAATTTGATTTTTTGACTATGCTTCTATGGACAGTGATTATTAATCTAAGGAGAATGAAATTGATGACAAATTTTTACCACTTTTTCTCCCAATTTATCATATAATCATTCCAGTTGTGAGGATTTTTGTTTTCTTCATGTTTATACATAATCTATGATGACCTCCATCAGTAAGTGCTTCAAGTTTTCTTCACGTTTGGTAAACAAGGTTGTGTCATCTACGTATCACAACCCTACTGCACACCTTTTCCAGTTTTTAATGAAGCAGCATCCCCATTTTCTGTTTTACCAATTGATTCTCATCAATCCATGTATAGGTTCCACAAGTACACTTTTTTAATGTTCTGGAATTCCCATTCTTCAAAATGTTACCCACAACTTGTTATGACCATATAGGCAGATACCTTCATATATAGTCAATCAGACACAAGTAAAGATATTTCCAGGTAGTATGGTGGCTCCATAGAATAAAGGTCTAGACTGCAAGCCCCAAGACTGGGGGTTTGAGCCCACTCACCACCCCAGGAGAAAGTTAAGGCTTTCTGCTCCCAAAAAGATTTAAATCCTTAAATCCTCGGAAACCATATACAGGGTCGGTATGAGTCAGAACCGATTCAATGGCACATAACAAAGATGTTTCTGGTATTCTCTGCTTGTGGTCAAGATTGCTCTCCTCTGTATTCTATAGATTATATTCCTGGATAAAGACTTTTGTCATGGGGTATTTCAAAAGTTAGGTTGTATTTTCTTTAAAGGGGTGCAATGATTTACCTTCCTAGCAATAGTATATGTTAGTAACAAGTTTTGCCACATCCTTGCAACACTAAGTATTGTCAATTTTAACTTTAAATTGCAACTATTTAATTAATACTGTTTGATTTAATTATAGTTATCAGTGACTAAATATATTTTTTTTCAAATCAATTTTATTGCGGTAGGTTCACATACAATAAAATACTTATTTTAAGTGTACATTTTGATAAGGGGTTACATTATGTATCCATCCTTGTAACCACCACCATTATCAAGATACAGTAAATCTCCATTATGCTAAGAAATTTTCTGTGCCGCACCCAGTCAATTTCCCACCAATCTTGTCTCCCAGAAGCCAGTGATGTGCTTCTGCTACAGATTACAATGATCCTTCCTAGAATGGCAATTAATGGAATCATATATAGTCCTTTGTAGTTAGTTTTTGTTTTGTTTTGTGCTGTTTCTGAGATTTATCCATGTTGCTGCATGTATTATTATTTCTTTTACTATTGAGTAGTAGTCTATTATATGGGTATAACACAATTTGTATATTCACTCCCTTGTTGGTAAATAATTTGGGTTATTTCCAGTTTTGGACTATTAAAAATAAAGCTGATATGAACATTCATGTAAACAAGTTTTGCATGGGCATGTTTCATTATTTTGTGTAAACACGTAGAATTGTTGGGTAGTGGCACAGTTAAGCCCTCATGACTAGTAAAAAGGTTGGTTGTTCGAAACCAGCCACTAGTATTTCAGAAAACAGGATTGTTGATTTGCTTCCCAAAAGTCACAACCTTGAAAATCTATGAAGCAGTTCTACTCTGCATATATAAGATGACCATAAATCTAAATCAACTAAATGGAGAACTAAGAACAGCATGATTAGTTTATAGTTAATGTTATAAGAAACTGCCAAAATATTTTTTTAAAGGATTTATATTAATTTACTTTATTACAAGCCTCTGGAAATGTATTATTCTCACAAGCAGCTGATGCATACCTTTTCATTATCTCAAATTATGAGTCTTTAATTTCAGTCTCTCTAAAGAATGTGTCTTGGTGTGGTGCTGGGGTTAATGTGCTGGACTGCAAGGTTGAACCACATAGTTAGTGGTTCAAGCTCACCAGATGCTTCTCAGAAACCCGATACAGGGTTGCTATGAGTCAGAACTGACTTTCTGGCACTTTAACAACAAAAACAAACAATGTGTAATAGTGTTCTCTCTTTGTGATTTTAATTTGCATTTCCCCTGATAACTGTTCATATTTTGATGTGATTTTTGGATATTTGGACATTCTTTCTATAACGTGCTCAATTTTTTTGCCCATTAAAAAATAATCAGACTGATTATTACTAAACTATAAAAGTTCTTTATATATATTCTGGATACAAAGCTTATGTGAAATATATGTATTTCAAATATGTTCTCATAGTCTGCAACTTGTTTTTTTTTTTGGTTTTCTGACAATATCTTTAGAAGAGTAAGCTTTTCATTTTAAAAAGTCCAGTTCATTAATACTTCTTAATTTTGGTTTTTTTTTTTCCTAAGAAATTTTGATCTTTTGCTTCTTCGTTTTTAAACATCATTGAAATATAACATATATTATGAAATTCATCAAATTAAAGTGAACAATTAAATTATTTTTAGTATATGTATAGAGCTTTGTAACTACCTCCTTTAATTTTCAATGTTCACTTGTTACTGTAACTTGACCTTAGTCCCAGACTCTCTAGCGAGCACTATCTCTTTATCAGTTACTCTTAGTTGTGAGGCTACAGTTTCACAAAGTACTAGCAGCTATCTTACCAGTAACAATATGTTCTAACACAGCACCTCCCTGTACCCAGTTAGGTTTGTCCGATGATTATTGTAAAATCAGTAATCCCTTCTTTAAGTTTCAATGTTGCACTGGCTCTCTCCTTTGTGCTCCCAATACTGCAGTCATACTTCTATTATGGTTACTACCACAGGGTACTGCATTTTGACTTTACATCTCTGTCTCAATTAGACTGAACTTCTTGAGGGCAGGAATTATTTCTTATTCATCATCGAATTCCTCAACTGGTGCCTTACAATACAGCTGGCACTGATGCAATGTTGGCTGAGTGACTCAAGCGAGTTAAAATTAGTAAAAATATCTTCCACCTAGACAGAGACTTTATTCTTTGGAATATTAGAAAGATTCTGTGATTTCACTTTTACTTACACCAACAATCTAAGATTTAGTCTTTTAATTTTTTTTTTTTAATGTTTTATTGTGAATTGTGTGATAGTCTACATGGGAGAACAACAGCTTTACATTCATTCCATCATCCATCATTTCATTGGCATAGTTATCATCCTGTCCATGTATCCTCACCCAACCAAGGGGTGTAAACCTGTACCACCACTACCCCCACCACAGTCCTCAGCCCCTTTCCATTTCCTGATCCCGAGCCCCCAGCCCCACCATCTCTTGATGTTGTCTTCTCTGCCTCCATCCCAGGCCTCACTGCCTCTCTGGGTAGGATTCCGCTCTTCGCTCTTCTCCATTGATGGTCCCAGGGTCCTCCATTCCTAGCTCCTAGACTGATAAATTAATCATTCCCCTCTTTGTTACAAAATGTCCATCTTTAGATTTCCAACCCTCACAATCAGTCCTGATAACAATTATTCACCATTGCATCACAAGAGACCCATCTATATTTCGTTTCATCAGCCCTTCCTGGACAGGCTGGACACCACTCACTGGAGACTCTACCTTCCTCCACACCCTCTGGATCTAGGTTCCCTTGATAGTCTTTTAATTTTTGATGTTTAATTTCAAGAAATTGTTATAGCATTTTATTTGTGATCACAGGCACTGTAACTCAAATTCAAATTTAAAGTGATCATGCAAATTTTACAACAAATGCAATGATAATACATGCATACCATGATACTTACATTAGTTGAAAATAATTTTGAATTGGAGACAAAGGGCTCTCGAAAAACTTTTATAATGAGATTTAGTTCCCTTATATACTGACGAATTTCTGCCATAAATGCCTTCACCAAATCATAGTAAGTCTGCTCTCCTGAAGTGGAAGGTTCTTCATCAGTTAAAGACAGTATATTTATATCTTCTACATCCTGATGAAACATATCCATCAATACCTAGGGAAGTGGAGATATACAAAATAATAAACCAGAATCCATACTCAAATTTGAAGCTTAATGTCCTAAGTAGTTTTCTGAATATAGTTCATAAATTATAACAAAGCCGACATACAATTCAACTGATTATAAATTAACTTAATTGAAAGTTTATTTTATTGTTAATTAAAATTATATTTTGCCATACATAATTCATGAAAAGTGAAAAGATAACACACAATTTTCAATTAAAGTGATTAGTTTTAAACTAATTTAGGATGACTGTAGTTCTATATAATAACTCCGCTTCAGTATCATTTCCAAGTTACACATTAGATTGGTAACTGCAAGGCCAGCAGTTTGATCCTATCAGCTGCTCCATGGAAGAAAGAGGAGGCTTTCTGCTCCTGTAAAGATTGACAGCCTTGGAAACCCTCCACAGTGTCGCTCTGAGCTAGAATCAACTCAATGGCAGTATCCAAAGACTCACAGAATATCTACTTCCCTCCACACCTTCTCTTAAACAGAATTCTACGTGTGATGTCACACACGGCCTCCAAGTTCTAGCAATACTATGTCTATTTGGTCTTTTTCTGTCTTCTACAGATTACTTCAAATTGGTCCCCAAAACCTGTCTTAGATTTCTCAGTTTTCTTGATTCCATACTCTTTCCATTATCACCTTAGTCCAGAACATCACCATCTTATATTTGAATGATTCTTACAGGTTTTTAGTTGGTAAGTCCTGTTTTCTCCAAAAAGTCTTTTACGCTTGCTGAAGCCCATTTTTCCCTCCGTGAACTTCTGTAATAGAATGATCCCTGTAACATGATTGGACTCCTGGTGTGGCACTATAGGTCAGCACTGGGCTGCAAACCACAAGGTCGGCAGTTCCTTGGAAACTCTAAACAGGGTCACACTCAATGGCACATAGCAACAGAACATGATGAAATTGTATTTCATCTTTTATTAATTTCTACTCATTTTATGAATACAAATACATCTTCATCAACTCTAGGCCTCCTACGTGAGTCCATGGTTGTTGTTGTTGTTATTGTTCAGTGCTGTTAAGTTGGCTGTGACTGATACATAATAACCCTGTGTCTGATATTTCCAAGGCTGTACATCTTTGTGGGAGCAGAAAGCCTCATCCTTCTCTCTTGGAGTGGGGCTAGAGTACTTGAATCACCAACCCATGGTTCACAGTCCAGTGTGTTGTTGCTGTTGTTAAGTGCTGGCAAGTCAGTTCCAACTTACAGCCAGCAACCCTGTATAAGCTTTTCTAGGAGTAGCTGGTGAGTCTTAACTACCGACCTTGTGATTCTCTGTCCAGTGCTGATCCTACAGTGCCACACAGAAACCCAGAGCCCATAGTGGTGGTGGCTGTGTGCTGTGGAGTTGGTTCCGACTCATAGCGACCTTGTACAGGGTTTCCCAGGCTGTAGACCTTTACAGAAGCAGAATGCTTCATCATTCTCCTGAGGGACAGCTGGTAGTTTCAAACTGCTGACCTTGTGGTTCACAGCCCGATTCGACATTTAGAAGTAATTTTATGTTTTCATTAAATGAATAATTTATAACTGATTTTAAATTATTATTTTCTTTAAAACCAAATAACAAGCCATTTAAAAAAAAAAAAAAATCAAAACATTTCAAAGTCTTCTTGCTAGCTAGCCTCACTTTAAACCTTCCCTAAAATAGAATTCTGTGTCTGGTATCACAAACTGCCTCTGTCAAGTTCTCTATCAATACTAATACCTATCTCCTCTCTCTCTCTCTCTCTAGCCTATTTATTCTAATTTGTCCATAAATTCTGTCGTGGATTCCTCAGTTTTCTCTCTTCCATACTCTTTGTAATTTTTACTATATATTGTTCAGATTCTGGGGCGGGAGGGTAATTTTTACTATATATTGTTCAGATTCTGGGGCGGGAGGGTAATTTTTACTATATATTGTTCAGATTCTGGGGCGGGAGGGTAATTTTTACTATATATTGTTCAGATTCTGGGGAAGGAGGGGGAACAATAAAACATAAGTAAGTAAATTTAGTAATCAGAATGTTTCAATCAGTAAGCATATGGTGATGGTGGTTATGTGCCATGGAGTCGGTTCTGTTTCATAGTGACCCTGTATAGGGTTTCCGAGGCTGTAAATCTTTACTGGAGCAGAAAGTCTCATCTTTCTCCTGCAGAAGAGCTGGTAGTTTCGGACTGCTGACCTTGAGGTTAGCAGCTCAAAAGAAAACCACTACGCTACCAGAGCTTCTTAGTAAGTATATAGTGAGAAAAAACGGGATGAAATGCTTTATCACAAAATATTTTCCTTTCTATAACTTGATCATCGTACTCTGAAAGTACTGAAGCAGGACAGATCGATAGTGCAGCAACTAAGAGCATTGAAATTAGATATGGAGATCAAGTTCAGGCTCTGAAACTTTTCAAAATATTCTGGATGAATTTCTTAATGTCTCCAGGTTTCATTTTAATTTTTATAAAATATCGTTAAGAGCACTGGCTTTGACAAAGGAGTACTGTAAATATCAAATGAGATGTCATTATCTATCTATCTATCTATCTATCTATCTATCTATCTATCTATCTATCTATATTTACTTAGTTAGTTTGCTCTGAGTATTAGTAGAGTAAAACCATAGAAGAAATATCTAGAGAAACCTAAGAGTTAGTAATTTAGTCATTTTATATTTTAAAACTTGTATTCAAGTATATCGATAACCTTTAAAGCATCTAATACAAATACAAATTTTCTATTAAGGGAGTAATACTATCAATTTAACATCCTATATCTAAAACATGGTATCATGAATACTTACTATTAGAGTATTGGAAATGTCTCTTAACACAAAATACACCATATTATGCTACTTAAATAGTATGCTACATTTCAACAAATTATAAATAAAAAATTTAAGAACAAAACATAAAAACTCAGTCTCCTACCTTATCGGCACACATTGCCACTTTAATATCTTGTTTTGTAATTTCATAGTGCCGTATATTTCGTACATAATTTCCCACCAGCTTTAAAATGTCTGCAGAAATGTATTCTAATACTGCAACTATGTAAACAGAAACTTGGTGATCAATTTTATAACCTAGGACCTCCTGTAAAATTAAAAGATAAACATGTCTAAACAACAGTCTATAATAATGTATCATACTTATTTAAAAAAACCAAACATATATGCACAGTTCACTTTAACTGAGGCCTGTGATTAGCAACATTTAATTTCAGGTGAATAATGTATGTATTAATATTTTCATACATAGGTTAAGAAGAGGTACGGTAAAATTACCTTTGATCATGTAAAATACTTAAGAAGTATTCATTATTACACAAAGAAATTCCTCACTTAGGAAAAAGGGGTAAAATGGACTCTAAAATCTAGGTAAGGTGAGCAAATGCTCTTAGTTCTCTAATTCAGATTACCGAGGAGTAGCTATGACAAAAGAGGTTTTTCTCTTACTTAGAATGAGAGCTATTAATACATTACTGCTAGCTAGGAATGTCTACTACACTATTCCTCCATTTTTCCCAAAGTAAACTAAGCTCCCCCAAGTCCTAGCAACACAGTCCTTAAGATGAAGAAAAATTCAGGGTGTGTCCTAACGAACAATGGTGGTTATTAATATATTCTGAAACTTCAAAGAGAATATGTGAGGCTGACAAGTTTCTACAGAAACACAAATTCTATTTTCTAAACAAACCTACTGGTGAAAAAAGAAACAAACCAGCAAAACTTTGAAATAAGAAGTATACTTCCAAGTTGGGGCAGAAGGCATTTCCCTTTTCAGATATGTGAAAACTAATAAATGCAGTGAAAGATGAGCTGATAAAACTGAAATAACATCCATAATTAGACTCCAAATTTAGAGTCACTAATACAGCAGGCACAAAACTCAATTTGTTAATTCTCTTAGAGTATTAAGTTAATATATGGCTAATGAGAATCATGAAAACAGAATTATAAAGAAATACCGACAGTTTAGCAATTTTCTAAAACTTGAACTTAAGTCACTAAGACAAGTCAGCAATATATGTACCTTTAGACAGTTTTGAAAGACATCCAAATAGTTAGCTTTAAACTTTGGACAAGATCGAGCAGACAGGAGTCCCCTAACTCTGTTACACAGGAGCCTGGTGAACTTGGGCAAATAACGTCATCTCTGTCACCCTCAGTTACCCCATGTACAAACTGAGGATAGTAACAATTTTGATGAGTAATAAATTTATGAGACTATTTACATAAACATTAGTGGTTTACTTGTATTCTAGTAAGTAAAAAAAAGAATTTGGTATCTGAAAGGATAACTAAGGTTTTATTTTAGTGAAGCCAGTAAGAGTCAAAACTCAACAGGACTGCCTTCTTTTTCCAGGCCTTACAAGTTTTGCACTTTTGACGGGTGCAAGCAGACTTACCACTTTTCTATTGCTCTCTATTAGTGGAAAGCATTTGAGTTTTCCGTCTTTGACAGGTTTCTGCTTTGCACAAGTTCTGATTCTGCAGGTTTTACTGTATAAAAATGTTTGATGTAACACTTAATCAATAGCTTTGCCCAGTGTTTTAAAGTGTACATAGGCATTATTAGCATTTCTAGCAGCTATTCTTTCTATTTGTTCTGGATAGATTGACTTACTAATTTAAATGGCAGGCAGAGCTAGATAATGTAGGTAGGTAATCTTCAAGAAATTTCTGTCCAACCAAAGATTACACACTGCCCTATGGTAGTCTGGCAGATGTTCCTACACAAAGTGTTAATGTCTGAAGGATTTATATGACACCTAGGTATAACCAAAAAGAAAGGATTGTAAGTTCTCTTTGAGGCCCTATTAACACCTGAGATGAATAAACTCCATAATGGCCTCACCCCTTAACCCTTTCCATTTGCTTCACTGTTGCTAGTGGCATGAAGTGACTTTAAAATATGGTGTCCAACTTACACTTTTCTATTATCATGGCATTTCTCCCTACCAGATATATCAATTCCTGAAAAAATGTAAAGGAGAGAATTTTACGCTATTATCCAGAAAATATATTCTTAAAATATTTGAAAACAGTGGATTTTATTTTGTTCTTATAAGGCAAGAAGGCATTATTTAAGCTTTACCTTTAATAAAGGATGAATTTTTTCTACTGGGAGAGATAAAGGGTTTCTTCGCTTCCTCTTTTCAATAGCCGATTGGGCATCAGCTATTGCCCACTTATCAATTGGATGAGGGAAACTTTTTTGAACACGTTCCTTGGAAAATAGGAAAATAATAACTAAGCAACAAATAAACTAAACAGTACTTATTACTTACAATTTACTTTTAAAATAAAAGAACACCAAAAGCAGAGTTGTTTTACATGTGCTATAATTTACACTAAACACACACTTATGCTAAGAAAATAAAACTTTTCTTAATTAGGTAATTAGAGACTAAACATTCCTTCTATTAGTTAGGAAGGCAAATCACATCCTGAAATCCAGTTTCACTGTGATAAAGCTAATGACAAGAATGAAATGAGAAGTCATTTTTAACAATACTCGGTTTAAGCTCAAGCTGCATTATCTGAGTCCAATTTTCACTGGTCCTTTCTTTGAGACCAATTCCAAGTTCAAGTAGCATTTTATAAAGAAAATCTTTAGGAATTTTTTTTCTGTTTTCCGTCATGCAATGGTACTCAACTTTCAAACAATTTACAAATTTTGATAATCCATGCTTTACATTGGTAACAGTAATTTTAATGTACTGCAGCTTATCATTAGTTAAAATAGATTATTAATTATGAATGAAATACATCATTTAATTTCCAACAGTTAATTGGTGGTGCAAGCATTTAAGCATGCAGTTGCTAGCCAAAAGGTCAGTGGTTTGAATCTCCTCAGGAGAAACATAAGGCAGTCTGCTTTCATACAGTGGTTTGAATTCTCCTCAAGAGAAACTTAAGGCAGTCTGTTCTCATACAGATTTCAATTTTAGAAATCCTAAGGTGCCATAAGGGTAGCTACAAGTCAGAAGAAAGAGTGACGAACTACTTCCAAATCTTTAGTCAATGAAAACCTTATGAATAGCAGAGAAACACTGTCAGATATAGTGCCGGAAAATGAGCCCCTCAGGTCAGAAGGCACTCAAAATGCGACTGGGGAAGAGCTGCCTCCTCGAGGTAGAGTTGACACTGATAACGCGAAAGGAGTAAAGCTCATGGGAGAAAAGCCCACAGGACCTTCATTTGCTGATGGGGCACAACTCAAAATGAAAAGAAACAGCTGTCAACATCCACTGAAAATCTGAACATGGAATTGTATGAAGTATGAATCTTGGAAAATTGGAACTTGTCAAAAATGAAATGGAACGCATAAACATCGATATCTTAGGCATTAGTGAGCTGAAATGGACTGCTATGGGCCATTTTGAATCTGACAACCACATGGTTTACTATGCAGGGAATGACAAATTGATAAGGAATGGTGTTGCATTCAGTGTCAAAAAAGAACATATCCAGATATGTCATGAGGTATAGCACTGTCTGTGATAGGATGATATCCATGCGACTACAGGGAAGCCCAGTTAATACCACTATTATTCAAATTTATGCATCAAATATTAAAGTCAGTGAGGATGAAATAGAAGAATTCTACCAACTTTTCAATCTGAAATCAATCAAACATGTAATCAAGATGTACTGATCATTCCTGGTGATTGGAATGCAAAGGTTGGGAGCAAAGAGGAAGGATCAGTAGTTGGAAAATATGGCCTTGGTGATAGAAATGATGCTGGAGAATACA